GCATGTGGTGCTGGGGGATTGAACCGCGGTCCCTGTGCTTTGCTAAGCTTGTTCTAAGTAGGTGCTTTAGACCACTGAGCCATCTCACCAACCCGCCATAGAAGTTTTATAATCTGGCCCCTTATCAAAAAAAAAAAAGTTTGTCAATTTATTTTACACATACTAATTTTTAGGCCACAATAAGGTATCTTCCAGAACAACTAACAAAAGGAAAAAGGAAGTCGATGAAAGGGACCCTGAGGACAAAGCAGCCTTGGAAATTAGGACTCCTTGGGAAGGCAGGAGGGAGGAGGGCCTGAGTGTGGCTCTGAGGTCTGAGACTCCTGTTGGAATCCTGGCTGTCACTCACCTACCATGTGACCACATGGGTCACTCGAGTGGGAGCTGCGCTTTCCTGTCATGGTGTAAGGACACCACTTATTAAGTGGATCGTGATAGGGCCAGCCAGATAGCTCGGTGGACTAAAGCACCTGCTTAGGCAGAGCACTTCGCCACGTGCTGAGGTGGCGATTGAGACTGGGAGTGGTGGTACCTATAATCCCAGCACTTGGGAGGCTAAAAACAGGAGAATCACTACAAATCTGATCTATGTAATGAGACCCTGTAAACCTGTAGACCAATCACGCCAATGTTGCGTTCTACCCCATTCATCTATGTTACGGTGTAAATGCAATAGGTTTCTCATTGAAATTTTCACTTAAGCTTAACTTAAGCCTTACCATGGAAGCCAGCAGGACCTCCCTGAAGGCCGGGACACTGAGCTCTAGCCTGGGGGGAGATGCTGTGCTGACCATGAAGCCCTTGGGCATCTTGAAGGGGACACCATCGAGGGCACTCATCCTGTCCGAGGGGGGTGGAGATGGCTCAGGGGGCAGGGCTGGCTGATGGTAGAGACAGTGCAGAGTCCCAAGGAGCAGGTACAGGCCTTGGTGGTCTCACTACTGTCCTGTGCTGGGCCCCACACCTGGAAAGGAAAAGATGAAATGAATGAAACAGGACCTGCAACACTGGTGCTACCGTACCTCAGCACAAGAGCTGCCACCCAACGTTTAGAGAAAAACAATACCAAGTTACATAACCTCTTGCAAAGAAGAAAATAAGGGATACTTCCTAATTCTTTTTGACCTTATCATAATCTTGATAACAAACTTGACAATAAAATTAGAAGCCACTCTCTCATGAACATAGGTGCAAAAAGCTTTTA